ACATTTATGTGACGCTTTTCCACTCATTCTACCAGTTCTCCGTTTTCCTGTGTTGAAATCGACCAGCTGTGAAGGTGGGGGCGGGGCTTTTATACGCGAGTAGTGAAAACACTTCCGGTAGTCTGCTCTCATGTATCCTCCCTTTCGTCTCCTCCCTCACCCCTCCTCGCCTCCTCCGTGTGCATTTCAAGTATTGGGACGTCCTTCAACATGGCGTGTCTTGATCAATTTGAGTCGAGGAGGGGTATTGAGATGAGCCTCATGTCATTATAAAATGTTGGCAGTGTTCCGATGACATCAGATGTTCCAAGTGCTTTTATCTGCTCGTGACATCATCATGACATCACAGGTCATTCCAAAATAGTTAGCAAATAGGACCCAGGCTCTGAGTCAGCACAAACAACTTTTCTTCAGAGTGACCTGACACATCTTTAGCAGAGACACACCAGTGACAGACTTCATCCACACACAAAGCAAGGAAATATTCTACCTGCTAAAGATGGAGCGAGGGAGAACCCATAGGATGGCCCTGGGCCCCCACACCGTGCAGAACTCACACAGAGAGCAGAACAATATGCTCAAGCACGAGCCTGCTAACAGTTTTGATGCTAACTCAAGACTCAGCAGAGCACTGGAGGAGGCTAAACGAGAGCTGGCTCGTCAGAAGTGCGTCAACCAAGAGATCCTCAACAGCAAGAAGGAGGCACAGGAAGAACTGGACCAGACTACATTGCAGTTAGGTCAGGAGAAATCCCTCAAGCTGATGCACACCAAGAGAAGTAGGTCTATGCATAAAGAGCTGGACAGGCTGAAGAGGAGCTGTAACCAAGACGACGTCAGCAGCTCCAGGATTGCAGCTATCCAGAGCAATTGTCTCCGGGAGAAGAAGAAGACGGTTCTTCGGGAGGATTTTGAGGAGCTCAAAGTGGCGCATATTGTCACTCAAGCTAAGCTCTCAAAAGAGCTGCAGTTTGAGAAAGACAAGAGCGCAGCTCTTCAGCGAGAAGTTGAACAGCTGAGACGTTCCTCACCAAGCTCCCAGATGAAGAGGCAGAGCCCGAAGATACAGTGGACTAGGGCTGTGCAATTAATCGTATTTTAATTGCAATTACGATTTTGGCCTGCCACAATTACGAAAACAACAATTATTTAGCTTTGCTAGGTTGTGACAGTGCACTGCAACATATTTGATCTAATTTATTTTAGTCTAATTTATTTGTATTTATCATATTTATATATGTTTAGTAGCTTGTGGAAGTGCGCTCCAAAATATTTGTTGTATTTTTGTATTGGTTTTTCAGTTGAATTATACGTTCAGGGTAATCAACAGTTAAAGGTAGGGTAGGTAAGTTTGAGAAACCGTCTCGAGATGCACTTTTTGTTATATTCCATGGAATGCTCTTAACATCCCGATAGCAATGAATATCTGAAGTGCTTTGACAAAAAATCCATAACAAAATATCATCTGTGGAAGCCGTAGTACTGTAAAAAGCACGACCAATCATCTGAGCCGGCCCGGCTAAAATAACTGGATGGCCTACCTGCCTGTCAGCCTTCCATCTGTGCACAAACTTATCTCGTGCCCTCATTGATCATGTGTGCGTTTGTGTGTGTTGGAGGAGGGGCTCTGTGAGGAAGTGGCAGATTTTCTCCGGTTGTGTATTTTCAAATTCTAGCGATCTCGAGCCGGTTTCTCAAACTTACCTACCCCACCTTTAAAAAGATACTGTTCAAATTATTATTTGTATTTGTTTTAAAGTTCAATAAATTGAAGTCAATGAATAATCGTATTTAATAATCGTGATATCAATTATTGACCCAAATAATCGTGATTATGATTTTTGCCATAATCGCACAGCCCTAGTTTGGTGCATTAAATGTCAGCAAATAGTGGAAAATTGCCATCAAAGGTTGGTCTAAGTCCATGGAGATGTCCTAAAGGTCTTGTTTTATCATTCCAAAATACAAAGATATGCACTTTAATATGATTTAAAACTGAGAAAAACAAAATATGTCAATATTTGAGAGGCTGAAAACAGCATTTAAAAGACGTTTGCATAAAAAAATGACTTCAACGAATAAGCTCTCCTCTGAAAAACAATGACTGTTCTTCAACAAAGTGCTGCTCCTCAGTCTGTAGAAGCTCAGAGTTATCATAAAGAACATTTACGTCCTGTAATTAAAGTGCCATACTTGTATAAAAAGGATTTATACACAAGTCCTAAAAGAACTTCTCATTGGCTCGTGATTGGGATCAATAGACACCTGAGGTGAGAGGAGAGTGCTGAAGAAGCGAGAGCATGCCAAATGTTCTCTGAGATCTCAGCACGACACCACCTGTCACTTCTGACCGGTTCTGAGGAAAGTGCTGCATGTGACAGATGGGCTGGAAACATTTAATGACATCCATTTGAAGAGGATTTGCTGTACTGTCTGTTTTCACAGTAGTTATGTGTTTTGAATGGAGATTTTCTATGCATACATTACATTAGGGCTGCACAATTAAAAAAAATAAAAAAATGTCGACACCACAATTGCAAAAAGATTCGCGATATTAGAGGGAATGTTTATTTCTTAAACATTACAAATGAACAAATATTATAAAGTGAACATGGTGTGACTTTTTAGAGGATCTGTACCAAACAAAGATCTTTTGTAAGTTTGTAGAATACCGTTTGTAGTCCAGGACTTCTCTGCAGTTCACAATATTTTTGCACATTTTGCAAAATATTGCGCTTACTGCTATTTGGATATTGCAAGTCCCTACAGTACAAACGTAAAGTCTTAGTCTTTTTCATACTAAAGAAGAAGAAGGGAAAGTTAAAACACAAATCTCTGCTGTCATTATTCTCAGCTCAGGGCATCTCTTTCACAGATCATTTAAAGAGTATAAATGTCAGCTCTGAATGTGTTTTTCATGTTGTATCCCTTACATTAAAATCTGCTCTCAGTTCTGTAAACACAAGACACCGAACATCTCCATCACTTCTTCTTGTTAATGTCACGAGGAATCATCACCAGAAAACAAACCTCAGCTTCATAACAATAACCAGCGGTGTTTTTGTTCTATAAATCGGGCATGTTCAAGGTTTTGTCCTCTTCGGTGACTGACAGGCACAAACACAATCATTTACCAGTTGGTATTCTGAGTCACATTTAATGTTTTGCTTCCGAGTGTACCTTGCTCACGCCTACACACACTGCTCATAACAGCTCCCGACAACACGAACAACTAAATAATATTGACAGAAAGCATGGAGGCTGAACACATCATGACTGACACGTCTCTTATGTGAGGGACATTTCAAACACTCAGAGTGTGAAAAGAGTTTCAGGCTAAAGTTCCTCTGGGTAACACACCATCATCTCTTCTCATGTAGATGAGAGAGGCGATGGGAAATAATGGAGTGTGTTAGAGTGGTGTGGAGGAGCACTCATGTCTCTCACACTGCGCATATTTGATTATTTTGTTCTCATCTAAAAAACCCTTCCTTTTGTCAAACAAAGTACTACAGGATTGGACAAAATGGCCCTCAAAATTTGATTAGATTTTTCATGAAACGAAATGCAAAACATGTCAATCAGCATTTCCAAGAGCCTGAAATGACTGCTTCAACCCTAAGCAGACTAAACTATGAAAGAAATACACAAAAAAAGAGTCTTCCAAAGTGCATTATTGTTTTGTGAAACTTGTGTTTTTGATGACAGGAAATGTTCTGTTGTTGTTTTTTCATCATTTTATTTATAGTCTGTTGATTAGTCCACAGCTAGTCTTCTATAAACAGATGTCTGCATATGAATGCACAATCTGTTATATTATTTGTATTTATTTATCTGCATTCATATGCCAATTAAATTTGAAAAAATAATATGATTACGTCATCTGGACCAAAATCATACATTTTTGCACCTCAATAGTTAAACCTAAGACTCGGCCCTGAATATCAGCTGACTCCACCCAAACCCCCCCTTTTTCACATTTTGAAAGAGAAACATAATGTTTGAAAATGAAAATGATCAAATGTAAATCTAACCTCTTCCAAACACATGTTGGAATAAAACAATTTCCAAAGGTCTTTTTTTTGTGTATGACATAATTTTTTTTCAAAAACTACAAGGAATTTGAATGTCCAATCTGCTTCTCTTATAACTTTAAACTGCAACGTATTATGAAATGATCAACTTACTGCTGTGCTATCCTACATTTCTTAAACAAGATTCTACCTGCTTAGCATGGCATTATGGGAAAGTCCATACATTATCCCCTGCAAGACTGGATCCCATGTTTCCCTTTCTAGGTCCCTGTGAAATGTGTTTACAGTGCAACATAGTGCCCGCTCTGTGTGATTTAGACCCTCATTTGTTTTGCTTTCAAGCCCACTCCCCAGTAAAACATGACTTACTATACTTTAAGTGTCTGTCTTAACTACACAACTAAATATAACCTTGAACAGTCACTGTCCGACGGCCGCCTACTAAATATTACATTGTTGTTTCATGAAGACAGAGCAGACTTGTTCTTCTTTTGTTGCGGTGACAAGCTCTGATCAGCACATAATCACAGGGAGACAGTGATGTAACATAAGAGTGTGTGTCGATGTGGCATGCTGCGAGTGTGTACTGCCCCTGTCAAACCAATTATCAGGAAAGCAAATGGAAAATGCCGAGCGTTTTTGTGGAATTCAGAGCGAAATGTTTACTAAATGTGGGCGATTGCAAGTCTATTTCATGGACTGCTGGTTTTGGAAATGTAGAGAAAACAGTCGATTAAAGAGGAAACATGAGTCCAAAACACATAAAGACAAATGCAGGACAATGTCAAACACAGAGAAGACATTTTCAGTGCTCATATTTTAGCAACAATTCCACCGACTGAAGCACAACTTACAAAAAGACTAAATACATGTTCTAAAAAGGCGATAACCTTTCTTCTTAGGCATTCAGTTAAGCTGCTGACTGTTGGAAAATGCATGCAATTAAAGCATCTCCTCCCTTCCTACCTGTTGTCTTGCGTCTTTGTTTGGGCTGCAGAGAGAAGATGACCATTAAAGCCCCCATGATGCCTTTCACACTTTCTCACTCAGCGATCTGGAAGTCCTGCTATATTTCACTTCACACTCACTATAACACCGGGACGGCTTGACAGTGAAAGCCTCACATGAAGAATGAAGTCTCCGGTCTGAAACTCTCCTTTTTATCCAGCAGGGCTATGTGGGCAGCAGGAGGAGGAAGAGAAGTGGGAGGAAAACATGCGTTGAGTTTTGAATTTTGACGCGCATGCTCCCCAGCGCCCCCCTCCCATCTGTTTTCCCGCTTTGAAGTGAGCGCTCGCTATCTGATCTGTGCCTGCAGACGCTACTTTGTACCAGTTGAGCACCTATATTAATTGAGACTGCAACATGCTGTGGAGAGTGCCCTTTACTGCAGACCTCCCCTCACACTGGGAAGGGGGGGGGGTCTGCAGGGAGATGAGAGAGAGCTCATGCTGAAGATAAATATTATTCCTGACTTTTAACTCCGTCTCCCGCTGGGAACGGGAAAAAGAAAACAAAGAACTTGGGCTATTCATCAGATATTTAAATGATGAACACGCAATCAGTGTCGACCGCACAAATGCTGACTTTAGACACTGTAATATATGAAAGGGAATATTCCCTTGGTTACATCAACATTAAAAGATCCATTGTTACTGGCCACTAAGCCACAAAAGAACTCGGAGTTAAAATGTTAATGCTGTCAGTCATATTCATATCAAAGAGAAAAATAAAATAGATATAGAAAGATGAAAAATCTAGCAATATTGCATTTGAAGTAAGACCAATGCAATACTGCAGAGAGAATCTCCTCCCTCCATGTGCAAGTTATTCCACATCCCGTAATGCCACCTTGATAAAAGAAAAAGAGATTGCTCCTCAGAGGTGATCCTGCCGATGCTTATTTGGCAGAAAGACTGTGAGGCCGATCCTCAGGATTATATGGTGAAGGTCATTTTCACATCTTTCCCTTTTCATCCTGTGCTCAGAGCAGAATATACCACAGTGATAAGAGGGTGAGGTGACACACCGAAAGTAGAACATTGAATTAAAAATACTTCCCCTTGCTGTGCCACCCACATGCCATTCATTTTATGAACCATGTGACGGCAATCAAGTCTCCATCAGCACCCACTCCATTAACCTGCTTCCTGTCCGCTGCATTTACAATACAAAGTGTGTGATCTAACACACTCACACACAAAGCAGTGACTGTGCCCCCTCTGAAGGTTGAACACCTTTGAATCACCAATATGCACTCCATTTCTTTGGTAATGGAGTTGTCCTTAAGGAGTCTGACCAGCAACGGCGGCAATTACCTCAGCACGAGGCCGGTGAGGTAAAAGTGACGCTGAAGAAAGCTCTCTGCACATGGCAGCGCTCTAGCTTAATGTGTGACCTGGGTTTTGATTCAAAGCTTAACAGGGACAAAGACAAAAGTCCATTTACAGGAAAAATGAACCTTTCCTTCACCTTCTCAGATACACACCACTCTTCTGAAGAACCTAGTGGTTGTTCTGAAAATACAAAATGTCCTTTTTATAAACTCTTAAGATTGTCTGTAGGGTAACAAACAAAGAAGACCAAGAGTCTAGAGCTTCATATTTTATCGCTCTGCTGTTCGTTCACAGCAACAACAGTGGCTTCAGAAATGAGAATGTAACCGATTTTTATTCACAGTTAACAGTTTGTTCTTAGCATGTTCTGAGTTTAAAGCAAAAGCAGAACAACAGATAATATAAATACTTTATCCAGTTATGTACATGTGTATATGAAAGGTAATCCCAGTTTGAGATGCAGGTTACATGAAGTTGTACCTGAAACTATGTGAGACGTGTGCAAAAGTACAGCAAGAACTCTCTAACCCCAGTTTGAAGATCAGTCCAAATCAGCTGAGCTTTTCAAAGTGTTCCCTGATTATGATGGAGCAGAAATTACTTTTCATTAAATTAGGCCCTCCAGAGAATACAGAGGAATAATCAAACGTTTCTGGGGTAAATCATCTCCACACTCACCACTTCAGGAAAACAATATGATTAGCTATATGGGATTCAAGAGAGAAAATGCACTGACAGCACAAGTGTTTTATAATTGAAAATAAGTAGATTTAAGTGCACAGAGCACAAAATATCATCATGTACCAATAATTATCAGGCCTGGTCATTTCAAGGACTAATGATCCATCAATCTGCTTGAAAAATTAAATGCTTTTACGTCCTTGCTGCCCACCTTCAGATGTGTGTCCATTATCCTGAAGCATTTTTCCTTCTTCCACCTCATAAAAACCGTTTTCTCTCCTGTTAATCAATTTGAAACCATCTACAGCACTTCATTAAAGTGCTGGTGGTCTGTACTGTAGGTGTGCGTGACTCACACTGAAGCCCCCGCAGTCTTTTGAACTAACACTGTGATGGCACCAGGGTAGCCACAGCCACAGGAAGCTGTGAATAGCCGTCCCTGCAGATGAGAGCGGTGACTCAGACAACTAGTGAAGACAAACACAAATATGTTGGGAAAGATACTTATAATAAAGCCTTTGTCCACTGTAATGTACCGAAAAAAACACATGGAACACGTCCAGCCTCACAAAAGTCATTATAATGTCGACAAATACAATTCCACTTTGAGCATTTCTATTCTAAATTGTGAGTTTAATTATAGTAGAGTAAAACGTTTTACCCCAATCTGACTCACAGAATAACATTTATCCTGAATTACAGCTGAAATATTAAACAATTTACCAATGAGTCCATTTATAGGAAATAAATCAACAACTTCAGTGATGGATTCCGTGAGGTAAAGGACAATAAAATACATACATCTACATGGTTGTTTTCAGAGAGTAAATTAAATGTCTTGCATAAAAATGAAGGCGTACAAATGTTACATTTTTTTATTCATGTACATATTATTATTGATAGAAGGCTACATTTTCATTTGAATATATCTGATGAGTTTCATGTTTTTCTTCGACTGGGTGTGAGCATGTTCTTGGATATTCTATCCATGCGAGCTCATGTTCCCCTTTTCCCTGACACCATATCTATACTGCATTTATAAATGTTTAATGTTACTGGTACTCTATATATTTTTCATATTTATTTGCCTTTTCTTTATAATGATATAAAGCTATGAATATATGTATGTGTTACTGCAGTGGCCCAGTTTCTCCAAAGGAATGATATGAAGAGGTACATCTTGTGTAGAAAAATAAATATTCATATTCTCCTCTAAGTGGCATCAAAACAATGTGGAGTATATGGACAGACAGTACAAGGAGTTCATAAGTCCAACAAAACAAAACAAGCTACATATAATCATTTGGAAGTACCCATGCAGTATGAAGATACATAAATCAATACATATTTAATTATAAACAGATCCTTAGTTGGTGCTCCAATCGGAAAGCTTCCAGTTGATTTCACTGCACAACACAAGTTACTGAAGTGTTTCAGAGTGACACATGGCAGCAGAGAGCCGACATCTGATCAATAACACTGATGTGGGAGTCACTCTGTTAACAGGAAGAGCATCTTAACCGATAGATTAAGAGACAGGAAGTGACACTGGAGCTATGATTCATTTGTGTTACAGTTTCCTCTTGCAGCAAGCAGACAGTGAGGGCATGCTGCTGCTGCATACGAGCAACTCTTGTCCTTTTTTAATGCAAACCAGGGTCATTAGGGTCAGCCGTTTGATTGATTTATGATGCCTGATCTCCAGTCAGATTGTGGTTCTGTTATGCAGCAGGTCAATACACCTATTCCTTAATCAGTGTACACGAACAAACGACACAAACAAGGAACCGCCGTGACATTTTAGTTATATATTATTTAAATATGTTGGTGTTACATTTTCACCAAGATACATGCAAAACATGGAGAAATATGGAGAAATTATGGAACAAATTAAACATTAATTGCTAAGATCTCCGTAAAAACCTACTGTTTCAGCCAGGCCAAGATTTGTTCAATTACAATCTTATTGTTGTAATCTCTTACTTTAAGGTAATTATTCTATTTGATTTGATTGTATTGTAAGTTGTATTATTTTAATGTTGTTTTAGAAATCTTGTTTTTCTCTCATGTTTTAATTCCATCACTGATAGTAGAGAAGCATGTTGTCACTGTCATGTTTTGGACAGTAGAGGGAGCCGTTGATTCATCTTGGAAAAAAGCAAATTAAGACTTGAGCAGCTTCTCCATCTCCAAACACATATCTAAAGGGTTTGAACTCAATATAAAGATGTTTACTTCACAATAATTTCATGTTATCTCACTAAAAGCATGAATCCATTTCCCCCCTCTAAACAGTATTTAGATCAGATGCTCTCTGCCTTTGAACGTCGAACATTACATGCGACGTTGACTTTATAACAAAGATTAGGGGCCCTTGAGTGAAAGAGCAATGTAAATAACAGAGAGCAGACAGGCTTTTTTCTTTTTCCATGACGTCACATATGGCCTGCCAAAAGCATGCAAGGTGTCAGAACTCTCTCTAAAACAAACTATACATCTTTCATTTCACTATGTATATTAGAAATACAACACACAGCTGACGGGAAAAGAAAAACACTTGACAGGAGGCGGTGATGATTCAGTGTGTTTGATGATGGTTGATTTCCTTTAACACGCTCTCTCAGAACTGCAAGCTAAGCAGCGCCTCTTAAAGAGGAAATGAAATGGAAATAGGAAAATGGTTCACATTAAGCTTTAACAGCGGCAACTCATCAACACAAGACACAATGTGAAGATTGTTCATGCGTAGCGCTTTTTTCCTGAAAAATAGGAGAGAGATATGAGAGCAAATGTCTCCTGCAGCATATTGGGAACACACAAATGGTTTTGCGGTTATCCTCCATTATGCTCGAAGCAGTTTCCGAATGCAGTTAACAGACATGCAGAAGAGCAGTCACTGATCATAGAACAGCTCTAACAGGCTGGCATAAAAGCAGGTTTTTAGACTCACTTGTCCAAAAACAACGTATTTAAACAGCAGTTGTCGAGAGAAGCTCACCCTCCAGATGCTCAGTTTGGACTTAACCTACAGCCTGCTGTTTCTAATTAGGGATCAATTACTAATGGTCTTTAGAGGACAAAGACACACAGTGGGTGTAGAGGTGCTGCAGCCTCATGGA